CGAAGAAATTCGAAAGAAAGAATGTCGAGTCGATTATCTTTCGTAGACATCGATTTGGAATTATTGTACGATATTTGGTGAATTAAAAATGTATCGGAAGAAAGGAGAAGATATATATAAAAGGAAGAGAGGACATGAAATCACAACGAGAAACACCGTGTAACGATGCTTGTTGTTCCCCTCTTTCCCTTGCCACACCTTTCTTTGATAAAAAGTTTTCGAACCATTCTCGATCGGATTTTTTCCCAGACGAAGAAATTCGAAAGAAAGAATTATCTTTCGTAGACATCGATTTGGAATTATTGTACGATATTTGGTGAATTAAAGATGTATTGGAAGAAAGAAGGAGGTATAAGGAAGGAGAGGACATGAAATCACAATGAGAAACCTCCTCCTCCCCTCTCATATGTGATTGCATTCGTGCTTGGCGCGCAAGTAGCAGCGCGACATCTTCAACTTTTTTTTCATCCGACATGTTCATCCTGTCGCGCGCGTCTAATGGAAGTTGGTACTTTGGTCTCTTCGACTGAGCAGCAAGTTTTTCCCATTTTATTTTTCTTTTTTCCAAACTTCGTTGGATGCGACATTTTTTCTTCTTCTTTTTCTTCTTCTTCTTCTTCTTCCTTTTTTTCATTATTGCGAATTTGTCGAAAGGATTCGCCGAAGAACATTGTCGCGCACGTTCCTTTCGAAAACGAACTTTTGGAAACTTTTTGAAATTTTTCTTTTTTGAAAAGAGAACATCTTCTTGTCCTTAAATTGCAATAAAGGGGAGAGCAAGTAATATTTCGATAATATTTGGATAATTAGAAAAATAATCCCGAAGAATGGACACATTTCAACGTTAAATTCGGGAAAAGAGAGATTTTTTCTTTTTCTTCCTCTTCTTCTTCCTTTTTTTTCATTATTTGTCGAAAGTATTCGGCGAAGAACATTGTCGCACGTTCCTTTCGAAAACGAACTTTTGAAAATTTATTGAAACTTTTTAATATTTCGATAATATTTTGAATTTTTTTAATTAGAAAAATAATCTCGAAGGCTGGACACATCCCAGCGTTTCAGCGTTAAATTCGGGGGAAGCGAGATTTTTTCTTCTTCTTCCTTTTTTTTCATTATTTGTCGAAAATATTCGGCGAAAGACATTGTCGCGCACGTTTCTTTCGATAAACGAACTTTTGGAAACTTTTTGAAATTTTTCTTTTTTGAAAAGAGAACATCTTCTTGTCCTTAAATTGCAATAAACGCGGGGAGAGCAAGTAATATTTCGATAATATTTGCCAGGATAATTAGAAAATTAACCCCAAAGGCTGAGAGGACACATCCTGATATTTCAAAGTTAAATTCGGGAGAAGCAAGATTTTTTTCTTCTTCTTCTCCTTTTTTTTTCATTATTTGTCGAAAGACATTGTCGCGCACGAGCTTTTAAAAACTTATCGAAACTTTTTTCTTTTCGAAAGAGAACATCTTTTTATCCTTAATTTGCAATAAATGCGAAGAGAGTAATATTTCGATAATATTTGCCAGGATAATTAGAAAACTAATCCCAAAGGCTGGACACATCCCGGCGTTTCAGCGTCAAATTCGGGAGAAGCGAGATTTTTTTCTTCTTCTTCTTCTTTTTCTTCTTCCTCTTCTTCTTCCTTTTTTTCATTATTTATTTAATTGAAAGTATTCGAAAGATATTGTCGCGCACGTTCCTTTCGAGCTTTTGAAAACTTATCGAAACTTTTTTCTTTTGGAAAGAGAACATCTTTTTATCCTTAAATTGCAATAAACGCGAGAAGAGCAAGTAATATTTCGATAATATTTGCCAGGATAATTAGAAAACTAATCCCAAAGGCTGGACACATCCCGGCGTTTCAACGTCAAATTCGGGGGAAGCGGCGATGGCACGTGACTCGCGTGAAGCAATTATACGCGTTAATTAAGATGCGCGGATATAGTGCAGCAGATTTACGAATAATCTCTCGAATGTGATTAACCGCGGGAAACCGTGAAATGAAACGAGCGCCAATTTTTCGCCGCGAAAAATAATATTCGGCCATCGACAAGAGGAAGGAGAGAGAGAGAGAGAGTACCATCGCGCTCTAAAAATTGTTCGAAAAACAATTTTAAATTTTATCGATCGATAACGTGTGGAAAAAATCTTGGATTGGAGGAGATGACGCGACGTTTCCAATTATATTCCCTCTATCGCCATAATCATCTAGTTCTATACTCCCTTATGCTGAATTCGAATGGACGATAATTCTCGATCAATCACGTTCTAAATTCGTCGTTGAACGCGTTTCCATACGAATTTACTGGTATTTTAGACGCCCGCCTCTCTCATTCGACACGAATGTATCTGTTGAATATATATATATATATATACATATATTAAATATCTCGACACACTTTTTAACGTTTTGAATTAACTCGTAGGATGAGTGGAAGTTTTATTAGGTAATCGAGCATCGAGTTCTCGTGATTAATCGTTATTGCACAAGCGAAATTTATAGTTATCACGGATTACTGCTCGCACGTTTTCACAAATCAAAGAAAGTTTATCGTCATTACGTTCTGTTCGAGATAATTATTCACGCGTAAAAGTACGAGTTACTTTCGGTAAAATATATAGATATATATATATATACAGCAACGAGCATACGTAATTTATGTTATTATTGTTCCCAGAGGGATCATTATCCGTTTAATAACTAGAAATATGAGTATAATGCACGCATATAATGATCTCGTAACGTTCGAAACGTTTCGCTTTATCTTTGAACCATTATTACTTTTTTAAATATCCGCAACGGTCGAATTACAGAATCGCGTAATAAGTGGATAGAAGCCCCTAGAAACGTGTAGTTTAAAATCTCTAACCTAAAAAAAATAATAAGAAAGAAGATTAATTTAATCCAACTTTTAAAACGAAATCTCGAAGATAAATAAAACGGATACCCTTGTCGTCGATTCTCAGTAAAAGGGTGTTTTTTTCGTCGGATATGTTGCTCAGATACGTCTCTTACTTCCGCTCGTGTGTCGCGTGAATCGTTAGCAGAATAACAGGAAGATGGGGACATGGATCGATTTCATCGGTTCATGGAAAACATTGGATGCTTGTATTAAATCGATGTTTATCGTTCGACGCGATTTTACAGACTTTGACTATTTTTTCAGATATTCTAACCAGTTCGAAACCGACTATAAAACCGAGAAAACACTTTGTAAGTTTAACGATTCGATAGTGAAACCATTTAGGAAGTTGGATACAAATTTACGACAACGTTTATACGAATAAAAGGAAGAGAAGATTTTCAGGATTTTCTTGCTACAAAGCTAAAATTTCTTCTATAAACGTTTTCGGACAAACATTTTGGCAAAAACGTTTTACTTTTATTTGTGTAAATAAATTTAACAACGCGCGTGATTATTATTGGTATTTAATAATTAATTTGCGACAATTATTCCATATCATTTAGTTACATTTCAACAAATTGCAATTTAATTGAATCGACGTATCGTTCATATGAATATCGATACACATATAACGATATACCCATATACGGACGGGATGTCTATTTTAAATCGATCACGAAGTATCTCAGGAAAACGAGAAAGAAAGCAAGAAAGCGTTTATAGAAAAATTAACTTCGTTTAACGAAAATCGAAACGTTCCATCCATCGATTCCCGATATCAAACGATGTTTCGGAAAGCAATTAACCACTTACATTAACAATTACGACGCGAACAACAAAGGGGCAAAGCGCGAAAGAGGAACGAGAGTTTAAAAAAACGTTTAAAAATTGTAATGGTTGTAAACTAGGCAAAAAAAAAAAAAAAAAAAAAAAGTTTCTTCCCGTTACCTGGATTAACGGCGTGGCAGTGGTTGAGGAGCGGCAGCCAACAGAGCAGTAGCACCGCCCTCTGCATCTGAAACAAGCAATCGAAAACATTTTTCATTCGCCCATTTTTTAACATTCCCGTTCAACATTCCTACCTTCCGATGTAATTACGCGTTTGATTGAAACGCATAACGATAAAAAAAAGAAGACGGCAACAAAACGAGCGCGAAATCCACTGGTTCCGTGAATTAATCGGAGAAACCGCGAATTAAATAATTTCGACGCTCGAGAGAACGAAGAATACGCGGGACGTAAGGCGCGTTAGGTTAACCGTCGAACTCGGACGCGTCGATAAAGAAGGGAAATGGAATCGATCCATTCGGGTAGCGTAACAATTTCGGATTATGGTATCCAACGGTGTAATGGCCGAGAATTGTGCATTTTCCATCCCCGCCCGTCCCGGGATCGCCTTCGAAATATCGCACGGATGGATACCGGCTTTTCCAGCCCCGGTGTTGGCTTTAAGTGGATTTAGCCGCGCGAGATCGCCTCCACATTCGGAACCAATCGATGGTGCAATTTTAATGAAGCCCCCCGTCATTTGCTTAATTCATATTTACGGCCGCGCTATTTGCCAGGATTAAACGCGCGCTCCTGTTTCCTGTACTGTTTGAAACTTTTTTTTTTTTTTTTTTTTTTTTTCAAGATACTCCACACGCGTCACGTTCAACCTCGTGCTCATTAGCCCGATGGAACCGTGAATAACGCCGCCGTTCAATGTCGTCGTTCAACCTGGACAACCGTGATTAAAGCCTCTTCTTCCTTGGAGAAAAAAATTCGATAAATATCGACATCGTTTAATGAAGCGGGTAATAAACGATGTCGCGGCCAATTCGGGTGAAAAATAAGAGAACGATCGATATCCATCCATACAAATCGCCCGGAATAAGAAATATAAAATAAACTATCTCGCGTGCATGCAAACGTGTATGACGCGTCGTAAGAACGTGCATCGAATTTATTTATTTATTTATTTTCTTTTTTTTTTTTTTTTATTTCGATCGACAGTGGTGAAAATTTTGCATACAGCTCTCTCTCTCCCTCTCCCTCTCCCCGACGAGTCCCTGTATTGCGACGATTCGGCCAAGAGAGGTGGACTTAAAATTCCACTCGCACGCCGCTTCGAATCAATTTGACAAATCGGCCGTTTCGTTCGTTTCCTGTTCCGCCAAGGATTCCCTCCCCTCCCCCGGTGTTTAACAACTAAAAGTCTGGCCCTGGTCGTGGAAAATTCACTGTACGCCGTCTCTCGCACGGTTGCCTTTGTGCATGCAGAGGCCGATCGTGCGTGCACGCGTACGAGCTTCATTTGCTTTCTCGCTGGAACAGAGAGATACAGGAGAATTACTCTTCTCTGCGCGGATCGACGCATCCGCTACCAAGGATTGAGCGATCGGGAATAGTACGCCGCCCGAATACAAATTTATATCGAGCAAAAACGTCCCCTCGTTTTTCACGATTCGAAAAATCGCGGTACGACGATTTTAAAATAAAGCGAGGTGGGGAAAGG